GTGTGTGTGTGTGTGTGTGTGTGTGTGTGTGTGTGTGTGTGTGTGTGTCAGACACATAAACAAGTGCATGACCTGTTTTGCTTTGACAAACAATTCAGTTTGCTGCCTTACTTGATTTTCCTGTTTAAGCTTTAGTGGCCATGTTTGAAGGCAAAACAGACATTATAAATGTGTGGGAGAGGGAAGAGCTCTTCTAAAATGTAGAAGGAAGGGTAAGAATAAGAGGAAGGCAGGGACACTTAAAGACTCAAATGTTTTGGCTGCCCTTCTCAAGGTAAGTCTGCACTGGTTACCATGCAAGTCCCAGCAGTTTGATGTGTAATGGGGAGTTTTTTCAACTTGGCGCGCAAGTTTATGATGAATGAATGTAGGTTAGTAAGTTTCTACTCATACCAACTTATCATTTCTATGTAAATACAACATCAAAGCAAGTGAACTTTAACTGAAGCTATCAGACATGTGTTCAAACTTTACTGTTATTGCCGCTAAGTTAATCAGTTACCTCGTCTTGCAGCTAATATTTGTTTATATTGTGACTTCAGAAATAGGCGTATGTCACATCGAGTCAAACTTCAGGTCCTCAAGTCACTGCAGGAGAAACAACCGCAGAGGCGCTTAGTGTTATGAGTGAGGTAGCGGCATCCTCTGCACCCTCTTAAACTTTCTACAGTTTTGTGCCTTCTTAATAGCTGCTTTACACCCACGTGTGCAACATTTTGCAACCAGAGAGCTAAAATATCACATTTACACATGCGTGTCAGTTCAGCTGCGTGCCATTGGGCCACAAGTGTGACAAAGCCGAGCAATGCTGAGAGGGGTTTTTTTGGGGAGGGGGTTAACAACGCGTTCTCAACTCTCAACGGTTGGATTTCATGTACACCTGATAGCTGAGAGGTCAGGGCTTTTAGTTTCGGTCCATCCCTTCACCCAAAAAGGCTGTGCATCTAATTAATGACTATTCAAATTCTATTACTATTCTATAGTGACTATTCAAAGAAAAGCCATGCAAATGCTGCAGATGTAATTTTCTGATATTTGGAGAATAATAAAAATATATTTATGAGAGAAAGCAGAAGAAGAATGTGAGCAAGTTCAGTTCCTGTTTACTTTTTTTGTGCTTTGTCATCATTTCTGTCAGTGTCTGGGTGGTTGTGTTCATGATTAGCGTGAGTATGTGTGAATTCTAGCTACCAGTGAGTCTGCCAGTCATTGAGTCAGTCAGGCAGACTGACAGGCTGATCGTGGCAGCCTCCACAGGTTGCCATGGGAAATAAGATATCCAGATGTCACCGGGCTAACACAGAAAGAGTGAACGAGTGCGAGCAGGAGAGAAAAGGCAAGAAAAACTAAGAGAGAAAAAGGCTAATAAAAGAAAAGAGGAAATGACTGAGTAATAAGAGAGTATAGGGGACAGATTAGGAGAATGACACACTGAGATTAGAGAGCAACGGTGAGAAAAGGGAAGTAGGCATGTAGAGATATGTTTTAGACTGACAGTGGAACAGAAAGGCAGATATGGCTTCCTTGTCTTTGGACTTGTCTGGACACCATTGGAGGCTCAACATGCTGTCTGCACTCCCAAGAGCCCATTGGGACGCTGCAAAGGTGATCTGCTACAGCGTGTCTTTTTAGCTGCCTTGGGCACTGCTCAATGTAGCAAAAACTCCTTCACATGTGCCAGCATGACTCTAGCTGTCAAATATAATTAAAGTAGGCATTACACGACTTTGTTTGTTTTTGCAGAAGCAGTTTAAAAAGGAAGCACAACACTGCAGTTATAGAGTTGATGATGAGAGGCGCTCAACTTCTGTCTGTGTTTAAACCAGTTTTTTTTAATGGCAAGTTTAATTTGGGGTCAGAGATCAGTATCTCCTGTGATGTGAGTCAAAGCGCTGATGCGCTCACACACACTTGTTACCTAAAACTGTCCATGCATTGCTTTGCACGCTATATATGTGTCAAAATCTGAGCATAAGGCCATTATCACCCTTGCAGCTTGTTAATGTGGCAAGGCGGAGACCCCGTGGGAACAGGGCGGTGTGTGTGTGTGTGTGTGTGTGTGTGTGTGAATGCACTTAAGGAAGCTGGTTTGTGTGTTATGTAGTATGTGTTGCTCTTTGAGGAAGTGGTTTTTTATCAGTGTGTGAGCGCGTGTGGGTGTGAAAGACTGACCCAGCCCTCTGTGACGCTGCAGAGCTGATCCCGTGGAGGGGAGGGAGCGGCACAATCTACTCTTGCAGATGAATGTTATCAGTGTGAGGGCTTTAAATGCAGACGTTTAGGTTGAGCATTGAGTGTCAAAACACTTGTGTGAGGTGTAAATTGAAGCCAGCCAAAGGGCGATGATTGAACTGCTGCCGGCTAAATGGTGTCAGTAGCTTGTCGCCCTCTGACAGTCAGAGTTTAACTCTCTTTCAGCTTGTTTTAGATACTTTGTAATCTATTTCTGTCTCTGTTCCAGTCTGCAGAGTTCTTCGACATGCTGGAAAAGATGCAGGTATGACGAAATTTTCATTCCTCTGAATGCCATTTCCTTCTCTGCTGCTGTCCCTCTATCATTTCCTTATTTCAGTATCCCTATTTCCTCCATTCTTTCCCTATCTTCAGCCAGCACTACTGAGCTATAGTAGAGAGGGTTTTTTTTGCCATAAAAAGGTTCCTCCTATCACCTTGTTTTTCTTTGACCAAAATCAGCTTTAACATATACTTGAATAGGGCTCATGCTGATGATTTAATCACTGAAAGTCGGCGCTGCGTGTGTCTTAGATTGGATAATAGGCATGCAGGCGGCAGTGAACATCCACACAAAGATCTGGACTGGCATGACTATTTTCTCCTTCTCTGTGTGGAATACATTGATTTTATTTTTGTTCTGAACAAAGGCTGTCTCTCTCTGTGTGTTCGACCACTTTGTGCCCTCCACAGGGCCCTAAGGGTGCAGGCTTTGAGTTGTCTGACGACAGATGGGGTTGGGCGAGGGGGGTTAAAAAGGGTGAGGAGGAAAAGAAGTAAGGTAGGAAAGAAAACATACCAAAAAGGGAGCATATGACCATAGGAAGATTCAGACAGAGATAATTGCTCATGCGGGTTTATTATTAGATGTCCAAGACGTGAATTATTAGGTGGTCATACTGGGAACTGTTAATAGGTTAAAAATAGAAAGCCCCATACTTTTAAGTCATTAGACTTTCTTTGCTCAGGATCCAAGAGGTGTGAACTGACCTGCAGCTGAAAGTTAAGGAATGCCAGTTTTATCCAGTGACCCCTGAATGCACCATATTAAATACCAGAAAAGCTCCCTCCAACAAAATTATAACATTTCCATTTGTTTCTTTTAAACTTTCTTTGAGTCTGCTGATGATTTGTGTTTATTTTTTTCCTTCTATTGTCAACGAATCCTATAAAAAGACCAAAACAAACAATTCTTTGCATCCAAAGCCTGAAATATGATATTCCCCCACACTGTGGGACTCTACTGGCGCTCAAAAACTCAATGAGCATTGACTGACTTGTCGGCCTCTGTAGTTCATTTTAGGTCAGTCTCATGTGCGCAGCCTTTTCTGATTATTGCAGTGAGTATTATTCACTGTACCACATACGAATTGATCCACTGTTGAAAATATTCTTTACAGTATCAGTAACAGCAAGTAAGACTGCCGTGTGGTCTATTTACAGTTAGAGAAACACAGCATCGTGTAAGAGACTGAGTCAAAAACAATGTAAAATAGCATCTGTGTTTAGAATAGAAGTAAACAGAAATAGCTAAGAGGAGACAAGGTGTGAGATGGTAAGTCAGCGTGAGGGAGAACCTGATTGAGGACATCACTGGAGTTATTTAGAAAGTGTAACTAGAGGATGACGGCCCCCTAAGCAGCCTGATGATCAAAGAGTCACACACGTATGCAGAGTGAAACTGGCAGCTCGTCGGTCTTTGCTGAAGCTCAGCTTGCATTGACCTTCTCGTCTGGGCTCTGAACGTTTGGAATCAGGCTTTCAAAGTGTGTTCCTGATGATGAAGGTCACTTTTTTCTTTTTTTTTGCTCCCCATCTCCGGTCCACTCCCTCCTTTCCTGTTCTTTTGTCAGCTTCACCAATTTTCACCCCTCTCTCTGCTTCCTCTGCCTTTGGCTTTTCTGTATGACCAAAAATCGAAGCCTCTGAAGACTCTTTCTGATCAGTGTCGTACTGTTGACACTGACTCCCCGCTGACTGCAACAGCTGCTCCATCAGTATGCACTCAGACAGACATAAACCACTACAGATTAGACTTAGAAGTGTGTGCAAACACTTGTATGTGTGTGTGTGTCGGGGTTGCATTTGCACTCTTCAAATGAATTCTGCCTGACTCTTGGTATGATTGGTGGCAGTATAAGCGATGGCGGTGGCGTGGTGGTGGTGTGTATGCTAAGAGCTGTGAATCTGCACACATGCATTTATTTCCTCACTCTTATTCTCAGTCATGTAGATGAGCTGTTCCACTGGGCCTGTAGCATAATTGGCCAATTTACTGTGTGTACTAGATTGGCTTTTCGTAGCTGCATATATTTGCACTGCGCTGCATACTATGAAAAAAAAGGCTTCGGCCTGCGCCTCAGCGTTTCTGTGTTCCAACAAATGATAATAACAAGTGAAGAAAGGAACACTTAGTGTGTGGAAGCTGGATTCAGAGAGGGGATGACTAAGTGACTGCATTACCTGTGTGCGCTCGTGCATGTGTGTGTGTGTTTGTGTTTGCAAGAGAGTATATTAGCACGTATGACTCACTCTGTTTTCACCTGTCAGCAGATGAGACAGTCTGAAGTCTGAAAACAAGAATGTTTCTGCACCCTTTTGGAACATTGCACAAATAAACTGAACTTGTATTTTTTTAAATTCTTTTTTGACCTCTTGTGCTTTTCCACTCTTATGCTGCGATTGGACTTTAATAAGGTCCCTAAAGCTGAAGAGACCAAAAAATGGAAGGTGTGACTCGATACACACTTGTTGATATCTTCTCTGTGGGTCTCATTAGTGTGTCTGTGTGTGTCACCATTTATTCTGCATGCTGTGCTTCATTGCTGCACTGCTTTGCTCTGTGGTCGGACTCCTCGCCGCGAAGGAATTCTGAACACCCCGTGAATGTTTTTCAGACTTTTCTCAGGGCTTTCAAAGTGCAAAAATCCATAACCCCCTGATCAGATTGATTATAAGTTGAATGAACTCCAGCTGTCAATTGATCCTCTCCGGCCTGCCAGAGTTGCTGGCTCCTGCTGCCACAGAATATAAATGACTGGCTGCCCGGAGCCCTGCACCACCAACAATGCAGACAGGCCTCAGCAGTATTTTAGAGGTCACACTGGAGCTGGGCTAGCAGTGCCAAAGGCACACAGCTCTAAAATCTCAGGGGCCACTGAATCAAACACACTCCCTCGCTGATGTTTGCTGATGACTTTGCATTTTGCGTTGCATCATCGCCCCGACGTTTATTTAGTATCGTGAGCTGCGCTCCCCTTTCGCACCTGTGTTTGTGGATGTGCTTGGATCTGTTTCACCGTCGCAAAAGTCAGTGAAGTTCATACAAGTTAAAAGTGTTACTGATGGTGTGTGCATATGTGTATGTATGTCTGTCCTCTTTTCTTTTACAGGATGACTATATCCCCTACCCACGGATAGAAGATGTGAGTCATTTCGAGCTCATCTTTCACTCAGCCATAATGCAAAACATTTGCAACCTTTGGCAAAACATGAAAAGCACACACTTTTTTAGTTGGTTATGTTTTATGTTGGTTTATGTTACACGCAAGGTCCTAGAGAAAGGTGGTCCATACCCCCAGGTAATCCTGCCCCAGTTCGGGGGTTATTGGATTGAAGATGTGGAGGCACCGGCAGGAACTCCATCTTCTTCAGAATCTAGTTTCTGTGAGGAGGAAGACGGAGGAGAGGGCATGAGCCCCGGTGGGGGGCACAGCTACCGTCTGGAGTGCAACAGCACAGCCCGTGCCTACCGCAAACACTTCCTGGGCAAGGTTAGTGCAGTCATGTCAGTTTGTACCAAGCAGTGCGAGTCTTTAAAGTCTAAACTGCACCTTTCTCCCTCGCTTACCTCCTTCTCTATATCCATACACCCAGGAGCACATGAACTACTATTGCACCGGCAGCAGCATAGGCAACCTCATCATGTCCCTGAAACACGAAGAGGCTGAGGGACAGGAGTTCCTGCGCATCATGCTCAGGTACAATCAGGCAAAGGCAGCAACAGTAGCTTCCCTTCACATATTATAAGTTCAGGATTTAAAGTCTGATGTGGTTTTCCTTCATGTTCCTGTTAGTGATGGGCTAAACCAAAAATACCTGCCATAGCGTGATAATAAGAGCGAAAGGAGGATGAATGAAAACCTGTCCTGGCCTAGTGCCAGTTCAGATTCTTCTAAAACAAATGTTGTGGCAAAAATCAATCCATCCACACGACCCAAATGCCATTCTCAAACATTTGCGCTACATTTTTGTGACATTTCTGTCTGAACCACAGTCAAGCTCCAATTAATTATTCGACAAACCTAAAACCCCAAAGAAACACAAACACTGTTGGCATGGCTAAAACACACTAATAACCCAGGCCTCCATTCTGTTTTATTGCAGCTCTGTGCACTCCATGTTTGCCAAATTTCATATGATTTTGTTGCTCTGTGATGAATGTTTTTTGCTATTATCACAGTTGGTGACATTTTGATTAACGGGCGAGCAAAACAAATAGCATAATGCTTTGTTGTTACGTAGCCATTGTGGGTGTTGCACAGAGAACTGTAGCCAGGTGATTGCTAATCTTCTCTATGACAGATGACTGTGATAATGCTAGTGTTATGAGCAGCACTGCTACATTTAGAGTCAATGAGCCCAGTGAATTTATTTTTTCTTCAATTCGAAATTGGTTAAAATGATTTCCTCATATTCTTCCTTAAATTTCACCGGGACAGTGAACTACATGGACACTAGGAGTTAACTAGAAATCTCTTTGATGGAACAAATTCTTGAACGGTCCTATAAGTCCTTTTACATTCAGCCCATTTTGAGTGGGCGGGGCCAGTAAAATTCCCATTTCTGTCAGTGTAAGAACTTTAACTGCCCATTTAATCCCCATTGGGTTTAAAGTGCAACAAACAATTGTGTAAAATAAGAGAAAAAGTTACGCAGCTCCCTGCCCAGACTGTACTGTAATTATAAAATAAAGTTTTTGTTCATTCACATTTTGCAGTTTTTTTAACTGTGGGACCACTGTAAAAAAATGAAAAGGTAAATGGTTTTTTTTTTTTTAATCTATCACAAAATTACTTTAGTGTCCTATGAAATGCCATAGATGAGTTCTTAATCAGTAGGAAAACTTATGAAAACACAGTTAAAAGTCCAAAATGTATGCCCTCCAATACATTTTCCAAAGCCATCCAATGGGCCGGATCAGAGTCTTTGCCAGCCCGATTTTAGTCCACGGGCCTTATGTTTGACATCCCTTCTCTATGTGGATGACCAATTTATATTCTTCTTGCAGGTCGAGGACCAAAACAGTTCACGATAGGATCTCTTTAGCAGGGATCAACCAGCTGCCCAGCGTACCACAGATTGCCAAGGTAAGATAGAGCTCACAGGTACACCAGGTTTAAAGGCAGACAGTCTCCATGCACATATAGCAACATCAAAACATAATGGCACATATTCAGGGAGGTATGGTGAACACCTGAGCGTGAGGGAGAAGGAAAGACTTTCGTAATCACATGTATTATTTCAGAATAGCACTTCTCACAAGTAATAACTGGACAAAAATTGCATTAAAGAAGTCATGGTAACAGGAAAAAATGTTGAAGTGGAATTGTTCCCTTCCTGTTATATTTCTTTTTGCTCTCTGACATGTGACTGATTATTATTATCTCTAAGACATTTTCTGGTACATTGGATTAGTGCTCCTTTACAGTGATCCTTCTTCTCTATGTTTTTTCATCTGTTAGGTCTTTTGTGATGATGCCACAGGGCTGAAGTTCAACCCCGTCCTGTACCCACGGGTGAGTTCATCCTCAGTTCCTGCACTGCAACCATCATCACACCCAGTGTGACCTGAGCTCTTCCGTCCAAGGCAAATATTCATTCAAGCTGAAACGGGGTAGCTTTTCCAGTCCCTTACGTCTCCTGAGACACAAAGGGGGGCAGTATAGCTGAAAGGACATTTAATTATAGCTGCCACAACTTTACACCAACGTTCATAAATAACTTTTCATGAATTTTCATATCTATAAATATTTGATGGCTTTTATTTAAAGCCCGTGGCTTTTGTAGACATTTGAGCTTTAATTATTTTTTGCCAGCATCACCTGCCTGTCCCTACACATCGGATTTCATTAACTTTTCAACCTCCTAAAATTTTATCCACAAAAACACGTCCTTCTTGTCACATTTTACCCCCTACTTCCTGCCTCTCTAACATCTGCCCTGCGCAGTAAGCATATTAGTCAAGAAACGATTGATGATACCGCAACTCTCTAAAATGAATTTGATGGATCTGTTCCTCCTCCTCCTCCTCTTCCTCCTGTGAGCCTGATGGAGGAGTGTGATGGAGCATGCTTTCAGCCTGTGCCTCAGGGAAGGAAAAAAACCATCTGTGTCTCCGTATGCAAGAGACAGCAACAGGATCACTGCCCTCGCTGGGGGCCGCTATACAGTTTGTTGCATGACAGCCTTACATAACATGGACCCGATAAAACCGGCCCTGGAGACGTGTTATAGAGAAGGAAAACACTTCTTTTTTTAAAAGTGTACAACTTATAATCATAGGAAGAAAGTACGACTTTTCCTCGGTTTTGTTTACGTACAGGGATCCCAGTTAATAGTGGCTTACGATGAACATGAGGTGAACAACACATTCAAATTCGGAGTCATCTACCAGAAGTTTGGACAGGTGAGCTATTTTAATTATCTTCCGCTTACTTTACATGTACCCTTTTATCTCATCTATCTTTCTCTTGTCTGTCCTTCACTTTATGTGCACGTATGTGTTTTCCTCCTCAGACATCAGAAGAGGAGCTATTTGGAAACAATGAGGAGACGCCAGCTTTCAAGGAGTTTCTCAGTATCTTAGGAGACACGGTTGAACTTCAAGATTTTAAAGGGTGAGGGTAGTAAAATGCAGTTCACTGGCATAAAACTTGTAGAATAATGTGAGAGAAAGTGGCAGGAAGAAAGCATTCAGTCAAATTTAAATGCAAAGAAACGAGTGAGTCTAAAAAGAAGGAACCTTAGGCTTATTACAGTGAAGAACATGGCGAGCTTTAATTACTGTAACCTTGGAGCAATTTGTCCTGCTGTTTTGGACTCAGCATGCAACGTGGGTAAACTGCTTAGTGCAACAGATTTGTGCAAAGAAAGTGCCACATGGACAGGTAATCAGAGCTTTGTTTATTGTAAGGTAGGGGGGTGGGGGGTGCCGCAAGCTTTCTCCTATAGGGTTACACTTGTTGCTTTTACATAAGGAGACTATAAATTGTAGCTGACACATCACATTTGAATGACACTGGAGCCAGTTAGGCTTAAAATGTGATGACGGGATGTGTAAAATGCATGAAACAGAACCTTGTAAGTGAAGGCTGGAGGCTGCACAGAGAACATGAGAGCTCTGATCCTGTGACAGGTTCCGTGGTGGGCTGGACGTGTCCCATGGACAGACGGGGTCTGAATCTGTCTACACCGTCTTCAGACAGAGGGAGATTATGTTCCACGTGTCAACTAAGCTTCCCTTCACCGAGGGTGATGTTCAGCAGGTACCACGGCTTAATTCTGCCTTTATTATTGTTACACTGAATGCATGTGTAGATTTAGCTGCCAAATGGGGCACTTGAGCCCAGAAATATCAATATTAAATTGCTTTTATTCAAAGGCACTGAATTCAGATTTGATCCCTTGTTGGAAGAATGGTTGAGTTAAATGCACTAGATCATCTCACAGCTATTAAAGAGGACTTTAAAAGGAGCACATTCTTGCTTTTATGCCTCTGGTGCTGATGGTGTATCTGATATTCAGGTGTTGGTGTTGTTCCTGGATCATCATATGATTAATATTGATCCAGGTTTACTATTGCAAGTGATCAATCACATAGTTATTATGTTTTAGTCCTGCGACACAGAAACGAACCTGCGGATGTCCACTCAGGAAAAAAATCCAACAAAGGGAGCGTTTCGAGCCATCGTTGGGTTGGGGGTTAGGATTCAATCGTGGTTAGGGTTAAAGGATCATCTGGTGCTGATCTGAAGTTAATACTTGAACAAAGTTGACCTTTCTTGTGTCATCTATATCTTTCAGCTGGTTTCAAAAACTAAATAAAATGTTCTTTGGCTTCTTATGAAAAAACAAAGAAAAAAATAAAGGAGGATCAGTTACAAAACTTTTAAAATCCATTCATAAAAGGAGTAAAAGAGCGACTAGATGGCCTAAAATGCTGTAGGCATGCATTAAATCACTTATTAGCAAATCGTCACCCCAGTATAGTATATACCATATAATAGCTTAAATGCTACAGAGATTTTTGCTTTTAGTGTCTGCAGTGAGCTCTCAGTTTTGTGCTGAATCTCATTTTTCTGCAAACATGTTCTATTCTAAAGTTTTCAGTGTACAGGAAGTAGAAGGGAAAAAAATATGAGTAGCCAAAGATGAACAGCTTCATCAACGAGTGACCTTCAGTGTTCTTCAGACTCTGACAGCAGCATCCGCACTAAATTACAGTGGGGGCATGACTTGGGTACACACATAACTGCATGTATTCTAAGACACATGTCAAATCTTGTCTGGCACTTGGTGGACGAGGTGTGAAAATAGCAGATGCACAACCAAAATCTGCACACAGTGTTAAACCACTGACCTTTCTGGCCTTTCTATCATGCAAATGTATTATTTTAATGAACTCTAAACAATAAAATCTCCCCTCTGTTTCAGAGGAGAATTTTCATGAAGACTTTATGGACATGCTATCAATGTAGCACGCTCCTCTCATTCTAATCCAGCACTGAGATAAGGCTGATGGGCCTTGCACTGGCAGTTATTAAATCTTGTGTTAAGATCTTTTCTTTTTAAACCTTCATTGTACTCTTAAAGTGCTCGGTGACAATGAGCTTTGCCATCCTAATAAAAAACTAAATTGCTCTTATATAAGCCATCGCTGAGGGTTTGATGTGAAGTCTCTAAAATCCTCCCGAGAACCATATGACCCCTTCTTGAATTCAGGGGCTCATGCAGTGTAGAACTAGAAGCAATATCCCGAGCTCTTATTTTGAAAGTGTTCAAAAATAAACACATAGCAAAAACTGGTGACCCGAGGTAATTATTTCCTCCTCAGCTCCAAAGAAAAAGGCACATAGGAAACGACATTGTCGCCGCAGTCTTCCAAGAAGAGCCCACACCGTTTGTTCCGGACATGATCGCCTCCAACTTCCTGCACGCCTACGTCCTGGTGCAGGCAGAGAACCCCTGCACAGAGCACACGACATACAAGGTACAAACAGGAAAATACTTCCTCTCCTTCCGTGTGTGCTGTAGTGGGCCGGTGGCCACAGTAACATGTGGCTGTTGCTTGTTTTATGCTGACAGGTGTCTGTTACGGCGAGGGAAGATGTACCTTCATTTGGACCTCCCCTCCCAAACCCAGCCATCTTCAAGAAGGTGAGCGGCAGATGTGATCTCAGTATGAAAAGAAGCACCACCAAAGCAGCTCGCTGTCTGGGCAGTATTTACTTTTAAGGGAATAATATTATATTTTCTATATATTGACTTTGTTTTCTTTGTTTTTTAAGAGGTTTGAGTGCAGTAAAAATCAGATAAGGGTCACAAGGCAGTAGATAATGGATAATAGGTACGATTTGCAAATAACTTGTCATAATGAATTAGAGCTTATTATATTATATATAATATTATACTACAGTATATTTCTAACTAAGCATGTCATTTGTTTTCACTTGAGACAAAGGGAAATGTGAGGTCAGAGGTCAAATGTGGCCACATTATATTTAAAAAATGATAGTTAGAATTCCCCATATACTAGAATCATTTACCAAATGTTGCTAATACAAACAAAGGATGTATTTTCCAAATATAAGCACAGTTTTAAAGGTAAAAGTCATTTTATGAATGTTTGACCTTATTTGACCATAAAGAAGAGGTCAAACGGTACTTTCTATATCATTGCAGGACACACAAAAAATAGTTTTAAGGCTTTTTGTCATTTTTTGGTCAATAAATCATTGTAGACCTTGGTGGACTTCAAGGTCTCTACACCCCCAGTTTTTATCAGAGTTCCTTGAAAACCTTTTGAGCTGTTTACAGACAGAATAACACACACACACGCAAACACTACCAAAAACACACCAGGCAGAGTCAACTTTTTGACCTTGACTCCAATGACTTGTGCTGACGAAAAGCTAAAGTTCACTGAAATGAACTGATATCCTTCGCTGGCAGCCAGTCACTCAATATGAAGAAGAAGAGTAGTGCTTTTGGCAGGAAATGATACGCTGACCTGCAGCACGGATTGCCTTTCAGTAAAAGGTATCTGCAGCATGTGAAAATACACTTTTTAGATTTCCAGCAGAGAGTTGGTTAGGAGATTGATGCCAATCTTAAAGTAGGTAAGAAGCTGTAGACTTCCTGTTCATGGAGAAAATGTCCAAAGGTAATATAATAAGAAAATACAGTCACAGGTATTCAGTATCTCTACAAAGTTATTGCTTAGTGAAGGATGAAAGATTTATTTCAGGATTCTGTCACAAAAGCAAAAGTCCAATGCAGAAAAAAATTAGAGACACTGGTTTCAGCATTCAGTCGATAATAAAGCTGCTCACTGCAGAATAAGAGGATGAAAAGGGGGAATTTGAGGCAGATGGGATTTTTAAATCATTTACGCTCATGATCACCACAGCACAATGAGCTGAGGCACTGTTGTCTGTATATCGTTAAGGTCACCTTTTCCTTTCCTCCTTGTCACCCTCCCCATTCCTTGTTGCTCATCAACTTCC